CAGGCGGGCATCTTCCTGGATCGTCACGTGAGATGTGGCTTTGGTGTTGACAGCAATAGAAGCCAGCGTGCACGATTTTCACAAACACTTCTTGCTCTTGGTGCCTTGCGGCGTCTGTCGCCGGTGGACTGAACGGCAAGCTCCATTCTGGGTACATCCTGAAGCAAAAGCTCACTCTATACCGCAGGCTCTCCACGACGGGCATCTTCCCGTACAATTTTTCCATCCACAAGACGTCAATTCGTGACTGAAAACATTTCTCAAAGGCAGGCGTGCGGTAGGGCTGCATCGTCGAGACGGACAAGGGCCGAAAACAAAAGACAAGCATCCCTCATGTTGTCTCTACCCACCAAGGCTAGAGACGACGTTGCTGCACGTCACGGCGGATTTGAAACGTGGCGCACTGGCAGTGATTGTGCCAATCTCATAGGCGCCGTCTCGTCGAGGCGCTCCGCCACACTTCAACACCAACTTCACGGTATCCGTTCCACTACGTACGACCTCACGCCGGCTGAATCCTTCCCGAAACTGCTTCTCAGACGCGGCGCCATGGCGTCCAACACTGCAAAAAGCACTACGTGATGCACATTTCGGATCTGGCTACATTGTGGCGCCTGCCACTTGCTCTCAACCAGGGTCTTTGCCTGCATTTCAGCTCAAGGCGTCACGCCACAGCAGCACATCCCTCACCTTGATGCCCTCCAGGATCATTTCTTCTTTGACGACTCCACTCTGCCGCTACACCTCGTGGGCCTTCGCGCGCGGCAACTAGGGAATTATTCCTCAGCGGATTTGCATCAAGGTGATGCGGACGGACTCACGACTGCTCCTTGCCCTGCTAGTTGACTATTTAGGTGCCGGCTGCGACCTAATCTCACGGCCGCGGTGCCGCGCCGCTGGCGCTGTCAATCATCCTTCCGGATAGACCAGACTACCTGGCCTAAAGTAGTCAATCTACTTATCGATTCTGGCCTCTTTCGCTAGTCGGCCTGAGAAATCCTTTAGATACACCCTCCAGCGTGGCTATGGTGGGAGGCTGCACCATCCGTTCCGTACATTGATTTATCGAAGAGCCGATCAATTAGATCCATTCAATGTGGGCAGGCCGCCGAGCCGTGGATTCCGTGGATTCCGTGGATTCAATCCTTCATCCATCTTCGCCATCAAAGCCAACTGTTGCCTGCTTGTTTCCGCCGTCCGACGCGGATACGGATCGCGGCATGCCAATGTCTCTTCTCAGACCGAGGCTATACATCTGTTGGTCACAAATGTTGGGTTCGGCACCGCAGTTGGCTTGTTTCAGGGCTTCTGCGCTGGCCACGGGTCATTGTTTGTATCGGTGCCTGTCTGCATCGATACCATGGTCCACGCCTCGTGCTCGGAACCAACGCGCGGTCTGTCAGCTGCAGCAGCGGGCGTACGTGTCGATGGTGCGAAGATCTTCGTCCTCTCGAGAACGCTGGGGTTCCGCCGCACCCGAGCAGCCGGAAAGACGTCTATTCTTTTGCCCGGCTCGTCGGTAAGTCATGCATGCAAGTCGTCCGTGAGGATCGTGTCCGACGGTGGTCTTTTCCTTCTTTTCCTTTTTTGTCTTGTCTTCGTTTTTGCTTTTCCCGTCTCGCCCCTCCGTCTGTCCGTCCGTCCGTGTCATTTTCGCTGCCCCCGCCCCATTCATCTGTGTCGTGCATAACCCGCACGACACGCGCCCCCCGGCCAAGCCGTCAAACACTTGCCCTTACGAGCTCATGGACGAAAAGGCAACCATGCAATATTTCTCTCCATCAGTGTGTCTGTGCACGGCACGCGCAAAACTTCAACGCACACAGATTGCCGCTCCGCCGAGTGGGGTCGCACACATGCAGCGGCGCCGTTGCGACGGGTGGATTGGCACTTGCTTGCTCGTCCTCCGCTCCTCTCCTCTCCTCCTCTCGGGGAGCAAAAAAGCAATTTAGATGCAGAAGGGGAAAAGAAATGGAAAGGCTCGACCAATCAATTTGTTCCTCATCACCTGCGGTCGGCGTGACATGTTGAATACACAACGTTGTACGCACACGTAACCAGATGCCTTGGCTCGCCTTGCCTTGCTATTGCTTGCCTCTGCTGCTGCTGCTCCTGCTCCTGCTGCCGTTTCTGGCTCGCTGCGGCATTTGCTCCTCGTGGTGGTGTGTCGTACGCATACACAACAATGTCCATCACCCATCATGGAACCGCATCAGCGTCACGTCGTCGAAACAAAGAAAAAGGACTGTTCTTTGCGCAACGTCTTTGCGCCTTTCATCTCACTCGCCTCACTCATGGCTTTTGCGTCTGTTGTTTGCTTGTTCGGTTCTTTTCCTGCGAGACGGCCGCCAGAGCCGTCTTTCTATCCGCTCCGACTGCGCGTGTTTGAGCTGGCTGTCAGTCGCCTCTGCTATGCTCTGTGTGGCTAGCTGGCTGCGTTTGCGTGGTTTGAAGTGAGGTCGGATTGGCAACGAATGGTCGAGTGGTGGAAGTCTTGACTAGCTGGCTGTGTGGGTTGTTCAGGTTGGGGAAAGAAGTCTTTTCCTTATTGTTACTTTCCGTGGACAGACATCTGACCTCGCTCCTAGCAATTTAGTTTCATCAGTACGTGTCTTCAATTCGTCGTGGCAGAGTTTGATCCAACTTCTCAATCATGAGACGAAGATCTGGACGGGCATCGTGTGCCAGGGTAACTTCTGTCCTATGGGCGCAACGCCGCATCTAACGCTAGCATACAATGGATTCGAAAGCTGAGAGACCCTTGCTGCGATATCAAGCTTCATTTCAACACCAATTCTCCCCGGTTCTAGGTTCTCGGCTGTCAAGGCGTCTTAATGCTCCATGCGCCGGTCTTTTGCTGTGCTTTCGTCATCGGTAGTCACAAAAGACGCCGAAAATGACTTGGGAGTAACTCGATTTTTAGGCAGTGAAAACATCGAGACGATTCAGGGGCCGTCGCGTTACGATGTCACTTTTGATTTTTCAAGTGCAGAAGGCTGTTTTTGAACGGAGCAGAGAGTCTTGTGTTTGGAGAGTGTCCGCGTGCAGGAGTCTATCTCCAACCTCTTTTACAACGCCGTCAAATGCTCCATCTTTCAATTCAATCATCCCAATTACCAACACATAGCCCCCGTTTGGTCCTATGAGCTCTATGTATATTTTTGCTCGAAGCTGCACACCGGGAATGTGATTCGATGTGACTCTCATGTATCAACCATCTCTGCAATACCCGACCTCAAGTCTGTTCCGGCTTTTTCGTGAATTGTGTGTTTCCAAGCACCATCGGTTCGTGGAATATTTGGGCCAGAGGAAAGAGCCATCTGCCGGAGCATTCATATCTCCAAGCCCATCCAGTTTTGTTTGGGCGACTCGCGGAAACTGGTCAACTGCGCTGTCCGCGTGCAATTTTCGCATGGAATTCGGAAACCTCTGCCCGCAGCATTTTCGTATCAAGTCTGTGAGATTATGAAGATTTGTCGTGATCCCGACGTAATGATGTCCACTATGCTGGGTGCATGTCCAAAGCTTGTGAACCAGCTATGAACAATGCAATCGCGCATAAAAATTCGACATGCAGACAATCGTGACGATCAAAGCGCAAGCATCTCGCGATCCATATAGCTGTAATCAAACAACACCACCATGACCAGCCGTCCTTCAAAGCACTGCAGCCGTACGGGTTCTAGAATAGAACATTCGTCGTCAAAATAGAACAAACACTTGTTCAGTAGCCCTCAGCCATTTCCTGGGACGTGGGATGAAACGAGATGAAGGGAGAGACGGTCTTTCTTGAGCCTGGGCCAGACGTTCGTCCGTCTGAGGTCTGAACAACTTCATCTCATTTCAACGCACCGCCACGCAGCGGCTGGACCCGTCCGTCCGTCCGTCAATCTGCCCGCACCGCCTGTACCACCCGTTTGGTCCAGCCTTGTGCCTGCCTGCCGTCGTCATCGACCATACTGCCCGACGGCAATTCTTGCACGTTCAGCAGCTCATCATCAATTAGTCCAAAGCACGGGCACTCAACCTGCATCTGAGAATCTGCAGAGTTCGAAGGCGTCGTCTCTTTCATTGCCGACTTCCGGCTCTGTATGGCAGAGTACTGACGACGCCTGCTCTTCGCGAGAAGATGCCATATCGGCAGTCTACATAGCGGGGCCTCCCCGCGAAACAGCCATCTGATCTTGCCCGTCACGTCAAAGCATCCAACAGTCACGCCTGCTACGTGATTGACACCAAGCAACCGGCTTTCAGCGCGCTCATCTCCATTCACCATCCAAAAAGCCGCCAAACAAGCGCCCATCCACCATCTGTGCATCTGCGCGAATTTTCCAGACACCTACTAGAAGAGGGTCGTCGTCCGATCCAGCAAGCTACTACTAGTTATGTCCAGTCGTGCTGCCCAAGGCCGACCAAGGCGCCTTTTCGCGTTCGTCATGGCCTCTTCTGGACCGCGGACTTGTCTGCGATGAGCTGCGCGGTACGCGGCTGCGTCCCGAAAGCTACCGCCCGTTCGTGTCGGGTCGCTCATCCGGATCTGAGAGCGGGCGGCGGCGGCGGCGGCGGCATTTCGGAGGTGAGACCTGACGAAGCCGCTCGGTGGTCTGTCGACGTCTGATGCCCCGGTCTGGAAGGATTTCCCGTTTGCCGCGAGCCAGTGGTCATGAAGTGCGATGCGCAAAAGAGCCTGGAGTTGCTGCTGGCAAAACGAGTGCCAGTTGACGCGGTGGTCTCGACGCGGGCAGACCTTTTCCGCCACCACAACCTCTGACACTTCAACGACACGCGACAACGCGCACAGCAAAACAACTCGCGACCATTTGCTTCGGTCCTTTTGCATCGTCGCTCCATCATCCAGCCGTCCGCGCGTCCGTGCGCCGCTCGTCTCGCGTCGCATCGCGGTCCCCACACCCCCTCTCCACAAACCCCCCTGAACAAAAAAAAGTCCAACACCTCCCAACCACAGTACTACCCCATCATTTAGATAGAGCAGAAGCTACTGGATCCGCCGGGAATTGAACCCGGGACCTCTCCCATTCGATGTAGCGCAATCAGAAGTTTCCTGTGAAGGAGAACTGTTGATGTTGCTAAGGGAGTGTCATACCCCTAGACCACAGACCCGATGTTTCCTGGTGTTGGTAGGATGTTGATGGAAGCAGCATGGGTCAAAGACTTTATAACTAAGACACATGTGCAAGAGGGAAAGCAAAAATACAGAAGACTGATTTTTGAGTCCGGTTTGCGCACCCATTGGGAGATTGAATGGCTTGGAAGTTTCGAAAATGGCACTTGGAATAACAGAGGTGACAAGAGAGAGGGACTCGCAGTGTTGCTTTGCCAGCGCAATCGAGCAGTCAGAGGGGTCGAGTGAGTCTCCTGATTTCTATTCGGCCAGCAGCCACGGCTTGCCCAGCTGTGCGACAACTGTGTGCAGAAGACTGATCGAGTAACCAAGCATGCCCGAGCCAGTTGAAACTTTCTTGGGAAGAGCAGGCCCAGTCTGCGCCCACACTTCAGCCCACACTTCAGCCCACTCTCGTTCAAAGGGAGACCAAAATTCGCGGCAGATTCAACATGGAAAGGATGGCAGCAGAGATGGAGGGAGCATGTTTGTTCCTCAGAGGCATGCATGTCGAATTTGTGCCGATCACGTCTGTCACTGCATCTGGCGATATTCGAATGGTGCGGCAAAGATGAATAGCATACATACATCAATACAACCATCCACTCATGATTTCATGATGTGATTGCCTTGGACAAGGTTCTTTCCCTTCCTTTCATTCTACCCGGCCATACATCTGCCCAAGAGAAAAGTCCTTGATTCGCCCTTCTTGCTGAACTCAACTGCTTGGCTTGACGGCTTAGCAATAATGTCTCAACACAGCAATAGCGCGCGTCTTTTGGTTCAGAAATGCTGGTATGTATGGTCGAGTCACAGCGGGTGTCGAAAGAAATGAGACCTCCCAGGTCTAGCCAGCAACAAACCACGGCTCCCTATGGGCATCTGTAATGGTGGACGACTGCTCCTTAGGCATCACTGTAACAGCAGATGAATGCCTCTTCAGCATTACTATAAGGGTAGATGAATGCTCCCTGGGTGCAACGATGGCAGTGAACACGATCTCATTTCTTTCGACGCCCACTGTGGAATCGACTTAGAGAGCTTTCAGAGGGGGCAGCTCGCCATCATAACACACTTGCCATGCTACACGAGAGTCAGCGACAAGCAAAACAGGCCAGTGAAGAGATACTCACACAACGGGAACGGGAAGTAGCTGCCACCATCCTCTCTCATGTAGACATAAAAGCCCCCAGGCCGAGGAACCTTCTTCAAACGACCCGGGTCACCAGGGGCACGACGCAAGCCATCGAGCGCGCCGACAGTGCGCAGCATGGCCGTCAAAGCAACCTGCGACGCGTCTTTGCCGAGACACGTGTGCGGCCCGGCGCCATAGTTGATGTAACTGTCGAGCGGACGGTCCACGCGCACCGTCTCGGGTTCGGGGAAGATGGTTGGATCCTTCGCCGCCTTGTCCACAAACGACACAAAGACATTGTCGCCAGCGGCAATGGGGATGGGGTTGGAGTCAGGCGACGAGGCGGGTCCGTCGTTGATTGTCGTGCTGCTGCTCGCGCGGCGGTAGGAGCCGAATGTGCCGTTGAGACGGATGGCCTCCATGCAGTAGTGGAGGAGGAGCTCGTCGGACTCGGGTGTGTTGATCTTGGCAAGGCGGTTGATTTCAGGGAGGTGGGCTGCACCCGCTGGAGAAAGGTAAAAGTCCAGTATCTGAGTAAACACTTGCGCCTGGTTCGGAATCATGGCGACAGCGGTCGGAAATACTTGTGACCACGCAACCTGCTCAACGCTTAGGCCAGACTCGAGCAACCGACGGGTCATGTGTATGCCGTAATCCGTCAGGAAGGAGTCGTTCTCACGGAGAGAGTCGGCAACCTTGGCGACCCAGCTAGTCATGGAGACGGATTTCACGTTGGCCTCGATGAGTTTGCCGAGTCCCCTGGCCACGGCCTTTGCAGCAACGTGCAATGGGAACGACTTGGCTGGGTCCATGTCGAAGAAGATGCAGGTGAAGATGACGGCCACAGCCATGTACATCTCGTGCTCAGTAAAGATGCCCTTGGGATGCTCGGCCGTCTTGAGAGGAAGTGAGAACACGTTGGAAGCAAAGTGGACGTGTGCCAGATTGCCAACACTGGAGTCGTTAGCACACCCCTGTTGATAATTGGAACGACTCACTCTCTGGTGATGTCGACATGATTGGTCCCCGCAATCTTGAAGGACTTTTGGTGCAAGAGCTTCAAAGTAATGTGCTCGTAGAACCTCTTGATATCCCGGTGCCAGTTTTCCCGGTACAGCGTCTTTGCCATCGTCTTTCTCTGGTTGGCATTGAGCGGTGTATCGCCAGACCTAAACATGTCAGTATGCCCGGGTAGCTATCATCAGGCAGACAGGTGGACGAGAGAGACGAAAGACTCACAGCATGAAGTTGGCGCCACCTTTGCCCATGAGCTCTTCCAAAGTCGCTCCCCAAGTGACCTTGAAGTTTGCTTGATTCTCCAAGACGGCCTTTGCCCCGAGATAGGAAGTGATGTTGATTCTGGATTTGATGAGGCCAGGGCGATCATACGAGTAGTGGCTTTCACGGCCGAGGGTTTGCATGATCTTCCGGTTTTCAGAAGGAATGGTCATCTTATGATTCGTTAGTCGTGCCATCAAGAAGGTCAAGTTGAGGACTCACCGGGTAGTGTGCATAGATTGAGTTTGGCTTGAAGTGGTTCGGGAAGGCTCTGAGGAAAAGCTTGTAGAAGACGCAACCTTGCTCGATGTTGACGTCGTTCTGCGCTTCAGTGTAGCCCCAACTATCATCATGTCAGTCGTAGCAAACAAATGCTCCCAAGTTGCTTACTTTGTCAAGTTTCTTGCATGATAGTCGACAGTGTAGAACCTGTCGCCGCGAACGAGGACGACTGCATCCGAAAGAATTGCCTTGGAAATGGTGAATGTCGGGGCAATTCCCACACCAGGAACCATGGGCGTCTTTGCTTCTTCGGTGACCAGACCTGGGTACAATTCAACAAAGTCGGGATGGTTGTACAGATGGCGCAATTGATCAGCAACCTTGGGATCGCTGTTAATGTCCTCAAAGGTTTCGTGGGGCTTGAGACCAAAGAACTTGCGGAATTCGTTCAAAGTAGCCAGGCCCCACTTCCTCGACTGTTGCATGCCCATGATCTCGACTGCCTTGAGAGCCTTAGGCACGTTGTTCGCCCCAAAAGCACCTACCCTGATTAACTTGTTGCACCGATTTTTGTTAGGGGGCACTCACCTGCAGTGTCCTCGATGCTGTCACAAAGAATCTCAACCAGTTCGTCATCACTGAACTTGCCATCAGATCCACGTGAAAGACCAGCAAACTCCCGTTTCATGGGATCTGCAGGAAGGGTCTTGTCCCAAAGAGACAAGCCAGCAATGAGCTCTCCCATAGAGACCTCTGAAGATGGCTTCTTGAAAAGCCGCTGGTACTCCTTCTCGGTCCATTCTTCGTCACGTTTGCTGGTAGCCGAGTGCCATCTGTACACCAGGTTGAATTCGGCGCTGACTTGGTTACCAATACCACGTGGGGTTCCGTCTGTCCCAAAAACCTTTGCCATGTCGACCCGAGGGTCCAAAGTCCAAGTTGTGTTACTTCTATTGAGATTCTGTTTGATTCTGTCAGCGAAGAAGACTCAATCTAGCCACAAGAGAGCTCTTACGACGATACTGCGGAGGTAGTCATTGAGCGTCAAATTCATGTATAGTCCGCACGTAATCAACCTGCCAGTCTGAAACAGATCATTGTCGTACTTTTTACACTGCTCTGCCAAGTGGTCTGGCGACAGACCGTTCTGATTTGGCTTGTTGAAGCGTCCGTTTTCGTTGATGGCGGCGAGCTGCTCGACGACGTAGTTGTGGAAGCGGTTGAACATGATCAAAAGGACACCGCACCCAGGAGGGAACCCGAGGAGGCGCTCCTCTGAGAAGCAATCAGGCTTCAATTTGCCATCCTTGAAAGTACGAATCTGGTCCTGGTCCTTCTGGGTGTCACCATACAGGGGCGACAGATCGAGGTATGATGACGTTTTGGAAATTGAGATATCTTTGTGGTCTGAAGATATGTGAGTATACTGATACTTTAGCATTGGGATTATTGGGAGCAATCTTACCGGTTTGGAAGAGATCGTGGATTATCAAAGAAGCCCAGTAAAAGAGAATGCTGGAAACCTTGTTGGGATGTTCTCGAAACTCCTCTCGAGCAAACACAGAATCAAAGATGAGGCCTGGGTCGGGAAGTGCCCCCGGCTGAACGATCTTGGGCTGCACGCTGCGAGCGTACGGGGTGTTTGCTTGTAATTGTTAGCGTTGGTCGGTCAGTCATTGTCGGAAACGCCTTACCTGCTCCCAAATGGGGATACATTATGTTCTGCGACTGTCAGCTGATCCTGTCACGTAATGAATGCTTCCTATGAATTCGCCTGCCGCTGCACATGAATGCTCCCCATCAATCAACTGTTTTTCTGCCTGCCTGTAGTTGCGGGTCCCAGGGAGCTTGACTTCAAACCTCGAACGGCGGCGGACGGGCTTCAGGGCCATGGTGTGCGAGAGTGGAGGACTGTGCGCAAGACTTACGTTGAAGGAGCCATCGGCCGCCCGGTACGTAAATCGATCACCAAGATATCTAGCAAAAGTCAACGCCAATTCCCGAAACTTGGCCTCGGGATCATACGAGACAGGGGGGTGCTGCAGACAGTCCCACAACTCGTCGACAAACGCGTTTGTGAGATCAGTTCGGACTGCAGAATTTCCTGGAAGAGCGGCGACGAGCTGCGCGAAGCATTAGCGGGATTCAAACATACCAAGAAATTTACTTGCCTGGATCACTCGCTCCATCAAATATGTCTTGTCGTCAATCAGCTCCTTCTTTGCCTTGTTGGTAAGCACATCCTTCAGAGTTTTGTAATCCTTGATCCCCAAAGATTTGAGATTGTCCATCAAACCAGCCGAGGACTGCTTTTGAACATACGACCCATCGCCCGTCTGAGTTGGCAAGGGTCGCTGAGACGCG